AAATCTGTAGTTGGTTTTCTTTTTTCATTGCTAAATGGTATTCTGTTGCATGAGTATGCCACAAGTTGCTTAACCATTGTCCTATTGATAAGACATTGGAGTGGTTTCCAGCTTGGAGCTATTATGAATGAATAAAGCTTCTGTGAACACTTTTGTGTAATACAGGTTTTTCATTTCCTTTGGATAAAAAACTGGGAATATACTTGACTGGATAAGAAGAGTCTGTTTCTAGGATCTGAAGGGTCTGGCTCATAGCTTGCAACCTAACAGTGACTTGTACTGTAAAAAGTAGCTTAAAAAAAGTAGAGGTTCGGCCTGGCAGTTCATGCTTGTAATCCTGGCATTTGGGAGGCCGAGGAAGGAAGATGGCCTTAATTCTGAGGCCTGTCTGGGCTATGTAAGTGAGTTCAAGACCAGACATGCTGAACTATAAAAAAACAGAACAGAACACACAACAACTTGTGATAGAAACTAAAGGTTTATGTATTGTGCTGGGAATTGAACTCAGGGTTTTCACACTTATATCTCCAGGCCTTTAGTTTATCCCCTCCCCTCCCCTCTCCCTCCCCTTCCCTCTCCCTCCCCTTCCCCTCTTCTTCCTCTCCCTTCCCCTCCCCTCCCTTGCCTTTCCCTCCCCTTCCTCTTCTCTTCTCTTCTCTTCTCTTCTCTTCTCTTCTCTTCTCTTCTCTTCTCTTCTCTTCTCTTCTCTTCTCTTCTCTTCTCTTCTCTTCTCTTCTCACAGAGTCTCACTAAGTTACCCAAGCTGGGATCAAACTTCCAGTTTTCAGAGTGCTGGCATTACAGATGTACACCACTGTGCTCAGCTAAAAATTTTAGTTATTATTATTATTGTTATTTTAATGTATTTAGGACAGGGTCTCACTATGCAGATCGGACTCTTAGTGATTCTCTTGTTTTCAGACTCCCAAGCGCTGAGATTACAGGCGAGCACCATGCCCAGTCTCAACCCTGACCCCTGCACTCTGCGTAAACAAGCACTTTGGCCAGATAGCCAGCCCTAACATTTTAGTTTTTTAGAGCACTTTTAGTTTTCCAATAAAATGAAGGTACAGTTATTGCCTACATATCATCCCTTGCATACACACACACACACACACACACACACACACACACACACACAGTCTCTCCCTTTGCCAACACTTCCCACCAGAGTGGTACAATTTATTATAGTTGATTAATCCATTTGACACATGATAAGCATCCAGACTCCATAATTTACCTTAGTTTTCATTCTTGGTGATGTGCATCAGTTGAGTTTGGACAAATGTGTAATGTCATGTGTCTGTCATATTGTATATACATAGTACTTTTCACCATAAAAAAAAAGTTCCTTTGGTTAATTCCTTCCCTCAAATCTTAATAGGGGCCTGGGAGATGGCTCAGTAGAATAAGCGCTTCCCTGGCAAGTGCACGGGTCTGAGTTCAATCCTCAGTTCCACAAAAATAAAATAATCCTAACAATAATTTACTAGGTTGTTAAGAGTTTTGCCTTTTCCAAACTATCATATTCTTGGAATCATATGGTATGTAGTCTTAGTTTTATTTCCTTAGTAGAATGCATGCATTTAAGGTTTCTCTTTGTCTTTTTATGACATCCATTTGGCTACTGATGGACATCTTGGGCTGCTTCTAACTTTTGGCAATTATAAATAAAATTACTATAACTATCCATGTGTAGATTTTTGTGTGGACATGTTTTTAATATCTTTGGATAAATACCATTGTGCACAATTGCTGACTCATATGGTAATAATATAGTATGTATAGTTTTGTAAGAAACAAAACTCTTCCAAAATTGTATCATTTTGCATTCCCACTAACAGTGAATGAGAGTTCCTATTGCTCCACATTTTTACTAGCATTTGGGTTTTTTTTTTTTTTGCCATAATTTTATTGATAAACAAATAGCAATGAGATAGTTTCAAATCAAATCGATAGGACAGTTTCAATAATCAACACACTGCTTACATTCTTCTTAGTGGTTAATTGCTGTACAAGATGCGGACTTGATGTCCTATTTACAAACACCATTAGAACAAATCATTCTATTCCTTAAGAGAATGTAACTATATATCTATCCTAACCACTTTGAATACACAGATACAAAATGGACATTCATCTGTATACCCCTTTTTTGTTAAGTTCCGTTATTTGAATATTATAGGTGTGTAAACTCAGCAAAATATTCTAAAAGTCCAGTAGTCCATAATAGTATTGGGTCTTCCGCTTAACTGGCAATGTCCGAAATTGTTGACCTGAGTCCCCCACAGCTCAACTTAACAGCATGGCTTTATTTCTTATATTTCGTCTTCATACTTTTCTACTGGATGATTAAGACCAAGGTAAAGCAGGACCTATACAACAAGAGTTGCAGCTTTTGGTTCTGATAAGGTCAGTGAATTCCCCTCAGGATTTATCCTGAGATCCTGTACCTCAGATTGTAGAGCCTTTGTCAGTGTCAGCCATGTGGATGAGTCACGGCCATTGCTTGGCCAGTGTGCTCTCTGTGAAAGCCTGAGAGAATGTTTTCTCTCCATGTGACTCTCCTAAGGCACACTCTACATCATCGATCACTTTCCTCTTTGGCCCCATAATCTCCTTGATCAGAAAATTTGGGACACTACCGAGTTACATGTCATTACAGTACAAGTTCTCATATGTCCTGAGTCTTAATTGACCTTGGAAGGCTAGGGCCAAAATGTTGGCTTTCCTTGTATCCCTCCTTTTTCTCTAATTTTGGTCTGCAAACTTAGGTTGTTAACCATCCAGAAGACAAGCTTGTTATTATCGAACAACTTAGGCTGTTAAGCTTAACCTCATTATCTGTCTGCATATCAGACATCTTAGGCATAATAAGGAACAGGTATTTTTCATCAAGTATTGATATGTTGAACTTTAAGTCCCTACAGAATATGATAAAAAACATTTAAAAATTAGAATATATTTCAAAAGTAGGCATAAAGAATTATATACTTCTCATGTTTGCACATAAGTCCAAAAATCTCACCATATACAACCTTGAAGCAGGACAGTCCCACAATACTCCTGTTCCTGTCTCTTGCTTTCCTTCACCACCCGCTTCTTGAACAACCATCTACCTGGGAGACATCATAGCAGCAATTTACTAGCATTTGGTCTAGTGGTATCTGAGTGTTTTAATTCACATTTTCCTGATCGTGTGAAACATCTTTTTATATACTTATATATTACCTGTGTATCTTCTTTGGTGGGTATCTATTAAGATCATTGGTCCATAAGGACCTGAGTTCAATCCCCAGTTCCGGAAAAAAGAAAAAAAAAAAAAATCATTGGTCCATTTTAAATCAAGTTATTTGCTTATTATTGAGTTTTAAAAGTTCTTTGTGTATTTTAGATAATTTGCTTACATATTTTTCTCTGTGGCTTGTCTTTTCATTCTCTTAACATTGCCTTTCAAAGGCCAAAAGTTTTTACCTTTGTTTTGTTTTGAAAGAGGGTCTCACTGCCCTTGAATGTACTTTGTTGGAGTTTAATTCACTGTGTTGCCCAGTCTGTCTCCAAATTCACCATAATCCTACTTCCTCAGCCTCCACAGTGTTGGGATTCCATGTGTGTTTCCCAGCTCAGATGTTTTTTGTTTTAATGACATCAGTTTACTTATTTCTTTATTTAACATGTGCTAGTTTTGGTCACTATATGGGTATTTTTCTTGTTTCCATTTATTTGGTTTCTACATTATTAATCATTTGACTTATTTGTGGCTAATATGGAGAAATGTAATTGAGTCTGTACTAATGTTTATAACTTTGATGAGTTCACCTACCAATTCTGTTAATTTGTATACATTTTATTCAGTTTTCTGGCTTTATTACTCTGCGTATAAAAGCAATGATAATGTACATCCTTTGTGTTAATTTGAAACAGAAAGCATTTTTAAACATGCTAGGTGTAGACTTTTTAAATAATTTTTATCAAATGGAGAAAATCCTCTTCTAGTCTTTCTTTGTTGAGTCTTTTGATCTTAAATTGTTACTGAATTTTGTTGTATTTTTCCTTCATTTGCTGACAATAAGTGTGTGTTTTTGTTTTTGTTTTGTTCTTTTCCTCTTCTCTAATTCTTTATGTTAATATGGGAAACTACATCTTTCTGAATGTTGAGCCAACCTTGCATTCCTGGGACAATGCCACTCGATTATGAAATGTTTTTCTTTTTATATTTTATTAATTGAAAAAGCACTCAGGACTTATGCCTGTATTTTTTAAGAGGTATGGGTGTTTAATTTTCTCTTTTTCTAATGATTTTATTCTGGTTTCCCCCTAACCCTAGTTTTTTTGTTGTTATTGTTGTTTTTTCTTCCTATACTGGGGATTGAACTCTGGACCATGAGCTTACCAGGCAGATGCTTAGGCTGCTGAGCTATCTCCCAGTCCTGCAACATTTTATCTTGATTAGCATTATTTGTTTCTTAAGTCTTTGATAAAATTCACTGGTAGAACTCTGGGTCTAGGATTTTTCTTACGGGAGGGTTTTTAATTATTAAGTTATTTTAATAGATATTAAGTTATTCCTATTTTCTACATCGTGTGTTTCTTTGGTCCTTTTTTCAGGTTTATCCCTTGTTTTTATAAATGGTGTTTTTATTTATTTATTTATTTATTTATTTAAAGACAGGGTCTCACTATGCAATTTGGGCTGGCCTTGTGCTCACTTTTATAGCCCCCAAGCTGGTCTTGAACTCCAGAGATCTTCCTGTCAGTCTCCCAAATACTGGGATTATGTGTGGGTCTGGCATGGCTCACCTGGGGTTGGATCCCTGTGCTTGCTGGGTAGGTGCTTAGGCCTCTGAGCTACCCACTTTTTAAAAAAGTTTTAATCATTCTTGCTGTTAAAACACAAAACAAAACTAAACTAAAAAGTTACATCACTCTTGAAGGAAAAATGCTGTGGAAATTAACATAGGTTTGGAAAACTGAATCACATTTTTAATTGTCAGCTAATATTATTCTTTGTTCTTGGTAGAATCATCTTTATTTCTTTTGACATCCCAATTATAAACTGTGGCCATATTGACTTCTGTTACAGTAAATTGATCTCGAAGTAAGTCAAGGTCCTCATCAAGAGACTTAAGGTTCTTCATGGCAGTTGACAAATTCTTTTCCAACAAAGCCTGAACTTCATCAATGTCATATTCGAGCATTACATTAGCCCCCAGCCACAAAACCACTTTATCAGTAGGAGGAATTGAAGCTTTGCAATGCAGTAAAAATCTGGTTTCCAGTGAAACGGTGGGCTTTTTTTCCCCCTCTGTATGTATTTTATAATTTCTTGAAATCTGCTTGATATCAGAAATTTCACCTTTTTTTCTTAGATGTATTTGGTTCTTATAGGGTCTCACTACGCAGTTTGGACTCATGGTGATCCTACTGCTGTCAGCCTCCCCAGCGCTGGGATTACAGGCATGTGCCACTATGCCTGGACTCTGGCCTGCGCAGCCTCTGGGGGTTGAGCTGGCAAGGCATGTGGTACTGGGGATCGAGCCATGGTCCCTAGTCTGCTGAGCTATCTCAGCAGCTGCAGAAATCTGACCTTTTAGTCTGTTTCTTTTGAGCAAGATTCAATTCTATAAACTGATATTTTTGATACTGTTCATCCAGCTTCTTTAATACTGTATCTGCAGTCTCATTGCCAGGCTGTTTCATAAATGAGTCTGGATCTTCCTTCTAATTTTTATTTACTGTGTAAGTGTGGAAAGAAGGATGATGTCATCTGCTTTTTTTTTTTTTTTTTTTTTTTTTTGTCTTTTTGAGACAGGATCTCTATGCAGTTCAGGCTGACCTTGAGCTCATTTGTAGCCCAAGCTGACCTTAAACTCCCAGCCATCCTCTTGCCTCAGCCTCTGGAGTGTTGGGATTACAGGCATGTGTTACCATTCATTTATTTTTGAATTGACTTTGCATAAAGGTGGTTTTCTTGGTTAGAATTTTATTTTATCTGCCTGCCTGCCCTCCTGTCTGCTCTCTCTCTTTTCCTCTTTCTCTCTCTTGCTCTCTTTCTCTCTCTCTTCTCTCTTTCCCTCCCCTCTCTCTCTCTTTTCTCTCCCGTCTCTCCTTTCTCTCTCCCTCCCCTCTCTCCCCCTTCTCTCTCCT